GGGGGGAGGGGAAAGGGAGGAACTTCCTTCCTCTAGGACTTGAGGAGTGAAGTCTGCAGCCCTGGAGAGTTACTCCCTTTTTTTTTTTTTTTTTCCCCCTCAGCCCTGGAGAATTACTAATTAGCAGCGTCAGCAGCAGCAGCCAGGTGTGGCGCAATAGGTTGAAGTGAACACCGTGGTCCCGGTAGGTCGGGATAAAGAACCTGGACGAAAACTTTTTTTTCAAGGGTTCGTTCGATAGTTGATTGACAAACGCAAGTTTGCCAAAAAAAAAAAGAAAAAAAAAAAAGAAAAAATAAAGAAAGTGATGATTGGTTGATGGTAATCTAGCTGACTCAGTCTGCTGGAACGTAGCTAGCCGCTATATATATATCGACATATATATATGTGTTTTTTTTTTTTTTTTTTTTTTTTTTCCCGATTTGAAAGAAAAAGTGGTAGAATGACATTATCAGTAGCATTGTCAGGCCAAGTCAGACAACAGACCGTTTTTTTGGTTTTCCTTTTTTTTAAAGGAACTTCAAATGGCGCTTCTAGCCAGATGAGATTACGGCTATCTTTAACGATGCCCCTCAGGAGGCTGCAATTCGTTGAATCTGGTCAATGTGGTGAAGCTAGAGAGAGAAAAAAAAGTTAGTGATTTTTAGTCAACGACTGGCTTGAGATGTCGCGAAAATGGAAAAAAAAGAAAGGGAAAAAAAGAAAAAGAGAAAAAAAAAGAAAAAGAGAAAAAAATGAAAAAAATGAAAAATGAAAAATGAAAAAAGGCGTTTGTAACTTTGTAATGCTTTCTTTAAACTGTCTCTTGGCCATTGCTTCTTCTTTCTTTCTTTTAAGATAGTGTTTTTTTATTTTGTTTTGTTTTTTTTAAGAAAAATGCTGGTCTGGAAATGCATTTTTTTCTGAAATGTTGGATCTTTCTCTGTGTCTGAGCTGGCTAGATGCACCCTGGATTTGTATTCGCGCTTCTTTTTATTTTAAAATTTCCCCCCAAAAAAGTTAATTCGTTTAAGCCCAACCAATTGACAGGGAGGCCTTTTTTTTTTTTTTGCTGTTTAATAGTGTCTATTCAACTTTATTGAATTTTCATCTTTTTTTTTTGTTGTTGCCCTATATGATAGACCGTATCCTTTTTTGTCCCATCCTGTTTTTTGCATTCCCCAGAGGCATTCGAGCGAAAAAACAAAGAACAAAGAGCTTTGAGAAGTTGCTTGTCTGAAAAAAATAAATAAAAAACCCGTTGAGAAGTAGCTTGTCTCATGCCAATGATGGCGGGTTTGGAATTTTCTTTTTGTTTGTTTGTTTGTTTTTCATTCTTCCGTTGTAACGTTGTTTTCCTTTAATTGAAAATATTAGCTCTTTTTCTCTTTGTGCTTCTTTTTTTTTTTTTTTTTTTTTTTTTTTTTTTTTTTTTTTTTTTTTTTTTTTTTTTTTTTTCTTTTTTTTTTTTTTTTTCTTTTTTTCTTTTTTTTTTTTTTTTTTACACTCACCCTAATCTATCCTTAAAATATATGATATATATGCTAGTATACCAGAGTGGCCGGGGTCCACTTGCCCGGCTGGGCCAAAAAGAAATACAAAAATAAAAATATATTTTTTAATACGACTTTTTATTTTAAATTTGGTAAAGAATTTGGATGTGACCCTGAGGCAAAAGTTGTTCAGTTTTTGTAAAATCCGGGAACCGGGCCCGACGTCCCTTACAAAATTAGGTCGGGCCCTCAGCGGGCAAGGCATCACCGGCCAAGCACGTCGAGGGCACCACTAGATTTCACCCCACAGTCAACTCCATGACCAGCTCCACAGCCCCTACCACTGAAAAATCAACGAAAATCATCAGCAAAAATTTAAGTTGATCACCAAAAAACTCTAATCACAGCAGTCATGACAACCCTAATTTAGTGCCCCAAATTCCAACAACCATGAATTCAAAAGAAAACCATGCGCAAAAGGAAACTGCAATCAAAACCACTTACACTAAACAAAGGATAAAAATAAAAAACAACAACACTGTGACATTGAAATCATTCAATTTCTCAGTCTTCTTAACTCCTCCTCCACCATGCCTCTAATGTACAAGTCCGCCACATTGATGAAGTTGAGCGTGAGCTGCCCCCATCCCCATATGCCATAACAGCCCACTTGTATGCTATGGGAAAGAGGCAGAGTGAAGGAAGAGGTATCAAACACAAGGAACAAGCTATTCGTGAAAAGTGGACCAAAAAAAAGAGTCCAGTTTGCAAAGTCTACAATGTTTTCCGTAGAAAACTGTTTTCGGTCAAACGCAATGTGACTCGAGGTTCATATGTCACCACAACTTTGAGGAAAACCTATTTTTAGCAAAACAGAAAAGCTTGTTGAAAAAAAAAAAAAAAAAAAAGTTTTGATAGAAATTTTTAGGATAGCCACTGTTGTGGTTATAAGAAGACGTATCCACAATGGAACTGCGAAGACAACGAAACAGGAAAAGGGCTCCGCATGCAGGGGCCCCTGCATGCATAGGGAGGGGCACATGCATAGAGGGCCCCCCATATATATAGGGCGTCCACTATATGCATATCGGGCAGCTTACATGGGGGCCCAGGGGGGGACCGTGCAAGGACCCTCGCATATGGGGGGGGCCCTGCATGCAAATCTAGAGGGGGGCCCGTGCATGCATGGGGTATGCCCATATGAGGGCCCCCAACATGTATGGGCCCCTATGCACAGGGGAACCCCTTTAAACCACCGGTCCCCCCGCCGGTTAAAAACTGTCGAAGGACCGGTAGGCTGCGATCGCCCATTTTTTGCCGCGCGACCGGTTTCACGCGGACGACCTAGTCCCACCCACAGTTGCCGTTTCAGATGTGGGACCTTGTAGGCCACGTGCTGAGGGAAACCCATCGGCCTGCCGGTCTGTCCGCTTTGCTGCATCCGGACATGGAAGTGACCCGGCCGCCAGCAAAAATAACAAAAAAATAATAAAGAACTGAAAAGAAAAAACGAGGAATTTGATTTGATTGTTCTCCAGTTGTTTTCACTTTTGTTTGTTGGATTTTTTTTTTGTTTTTTTTTTCCCTTTTTTTTTTTTCCTGTGGCCGAAACGACACGGGCGTTGCGGGCAACGAGCTTCACAGCACGTTCGTGCAGCCATCGCGTGGCGAGAAGACAGCGTTGGGTGGCACGTCTTCATGCACGTTGCCGTTTCCCACGTGTCCTCTGGCGACGTAGGCGTCGGACGGGTGACGTGGTTCGCTCGGCTGACGTCATTCGAACGTCGCGAGCCTTTGAAGCATGCGGTTTCGACGTTCCCTCTCTCTCTCTCTCTCTCTCTCTCTCTCTCTCTCTCTCTCTCGGCAGATGAAAGGACATAAAACGATGGCTGTCGCCATCGTTGATGTCTTCCGAGATCGGAGTTCGACGATTGTTTTGTCGTCTATCGAGAACTCGTCTCAGGCATTGGCGACAGCGACAGCCGGTGAGTCCGATGGCCTCACTTTTTC